CAGAGGACTTAGCAATTTGAGAATCACTTTTCCTTTCATACTTAGGGTGTAAAACTCTTTGATCATTAGGCCCTAAATCCGTTTTTAAATAGGGGGCTAAACTGAGGGGTGAAAAAGCTTGTTTAGCAGTAGCTCTTGTTCCATTGGCTGGAAGAGGCTTTAAAGGAGATGTTTTAGATGGCATTCCCCCATAAGCACCCATCAAGGTTTCCTTTTCAAGGGACCCAGGTACACCAGCTATGGGGGGTTCATATGCCCCACCTCTACTACTCACACTTTTTTCACCATTTTTTGAAGATACCAAATTCATGTCACTTTTTGGGTTTTTAGTGTCCTGCTTAACCATTTTAAGCAGGGTGTTAAACAACCTACCCTTGGGAAGTGGTCTAGGCCTATCTAACGGTATTTTATGAATGCGCGTCAATTTGACAGGCGGAGAAACCTTAAAATATGGTCTCTTTAATTGGGGTGGTGTAGTTGCTGATGATTCAAGTGGAAGTGTATCGTCTTGAGCCAATTTCAACTCTTGTTCATTAAGGTGTTGATGGCCCAATACAACTTCAGAATCATCAAACCACCCGGGGACAATATTGTCAAAAGCTTCCGCCTGTGATTTTTGGCTAGATAAGGGTCTTTCAGTGGATTCGGACATGGCTAATGGGGTGCGCTTTGCGAGATTAAAGATGTCCGACTTTTCCGACATTGTTGATTACAGTTAATGATCTCCCTTTGAATATTAATGAGTGAAAATTAGCATAAACGTAAGTAATGGCGTTAAACTGGGCTTGGGTCAATACGTCAAGTATTACATCACACCGCTAGGCCAACATTTCTGTCACGACCCTCGTGTGGTAGCGTGGTTTGGGGGTCGTAAACAGAATACAGTCTAAGAATCAATAGTTTGATTTGATGTTTTAATTAATTTAGTTTCGGGACAAGTTCAAGTAAAAGTTGAAATGTGTATCCCTATTTAATTGAACAACATCCGTGTTCACAGTATCATAACAAAATGGGATCAAATTGGGATAAATTTTGCGATGAAAATTTAGGGATAAATTAGGGATAAAATTTTAGGGATAAATTCTGGGATAAAAATAATTGGGATGAAGTGGGACAATTTCGGGAAAACAATTACGGGATAACAAAATCTGAATATAGACTAAGTAAGATTTGTCAGTTTTCAATGTAAGTTGTTTGTCTCATAAAGGCGAATGGCAACAGACTCCAGATTCTGAATGTGCCCAGTGTTCAGTTGTATCAAATAAGTATAATGTTAGGGTGTGAGTATAACCAGGTAGAAGTCTTAGCCACTGGGGGCTACAATGGACTTCGAGCTGTATATAAAGCTCACTGTTCACACTTAAAATGGGAGATTTTGTAAGAATTAAAGTAGGGCTATTTCAAATCAAGAGTCTGTCAAACTCATTAGGGTGAATGAAATTCTCACTAATATTATCAATAAGACATGTAAGACAAGAGTTAAATAAGAAAGTAAGATCCTGGATTGTACTTTAGCTTTGCACTATTGCATAGTTTCTGGGAAAATATATGTATGACTTATTGTGAGTGATTGTTATTCAAAGAAGCCCTTAGCAAATATGAGCTAAGATAAAGCTTGTTGCTTGAATGTTAGTATCACTTAAGTCACCTGGAATTTAGTCGGAATCTATTTTGAATCCAGAATCTACTTCAGATAAAATGAAAGGGGAATTTTCTAACATATATATAAACAATCGAACACAACAAGAGATATTCTGTGGATTTTCATATAATGTATAAAAACGACTCTATTTCTATTTACTAATCTACAGAAACATTACACAATTCAGTACTGCCGAGATGGTATATCAAGTAAATAATCTCTCAAACCAAACATGCATAAAACAGCACAGCTAATGGAAGTTCAGTTAAACAATTTGCAATAAAGCCTAAAATGTGTCTTTTTCCAACAATGTAACTCAACAGTGCAATTTTATATAATCCCTGGTGGGGTTGAAATCAACTCTCTATACTACTCACATGAAAAGTGGGAAATAATTTTGCCACTATCAGACTATGGTACAATTGACAAACAAATGGGAAACAGTATTTTAAAAGTATTCTAGTATCTATAATGAATTAGAATGTGGTTAACATAGAATTAGACCAGACATGGAAAACTAGAAGGGGAGGGGGTGTCTTAAGTCCGAAAATGGGGTTCGAATGACCATGACCCTTAAAAGTACTTCAATGATCAGTTGTTTGATAATGGTCCCATAAGCCCGGGATTTCAACTTTAAATTACCCAGAATTTAACATACAAATAGACAAAGGAGTATTTCTAGTGTATCAATAAAATTTACCCTGTGAACAAACTAAATCAGTCCCAAGCTGGATGGGGGGGGGGAATGTCGTATAGAGATGTCTATGAACCCCTGGAATTTGCAGTTGACTCTGGTTTAGAGCAAGTTACATTAGGTTCGTAAAGACCGTAACTTTTCGTACACCTTGTCAAATATTCCTAAACGATTTCCTGTGGGGATGTTGTATGGAAGATTTCGTAAGAACCCCGGGACCTTGCTTTCGACGCTGGTTAATAAGTTACATAGGTTCTTTAAGACAAAAACTCTGCGTGTAACTTTGCGTTAACCTTGTCAAATGTTCCTTAACAATCCCTGCGACAATTTAAACATGGGATGTTCACAAGGCAAATAAATAAAATTAAGGAAAAAATCAAGTGTACAGATACTTCTTTTCAAAGACTAGAACTCTGCAAAAATACAATTAAATCAAGTCAATTACCTTTACCAACTCGTACACCTAAGTTGGTTTATCTGCGGCAATATAAATATCCAATTTTAGTGACGATTTAATGTTTAAAATTCCACAAAATGTTTTCCATGTCTGGCCGGCTTGAATTCGAATCATAAAAGCCCAGAAAAAGACAATTCACTTAAAACGTGCTTATTTACTTAAATCAAGCTTAATAAGCCTCACTTTGGATTTTGAAAACAAACCCAGACAACTGCCCTTTCTAAAAAGTTTGTAACATAACATTAAACATGAAACTGGGCCTAAAACCTTCAGATTAAACTCTTATTATAAACAAAATATATATGTTGACATTAATCCTGTAAATAATATTACATGAAAAACACAAGAGAAGGTTATTAACCTAAATATAAATATAGAGTAAAATGATTAAACTTTAACCATACTTTAAGAGTATAGCCAAAGTACTACCCTTTTACAGAATTTAAATTATTTCATAACTCTTTAAATATTGAGTAACTAAAAGCACAATTGATAAAGTGAAGAGCAAAAAGTTAAACAAAGTGACAATCCTTCAAGGCGATTACATAACCATGCTCAAAGTAATCTGAAGGATCGTCACATAATGACGGTTGGGCCTCATACAGTATGACTAATTTTCCATGTGTTATCAAGACCAATATAGTATGTTAAATAACTTCAAATGGAGCAAAATGTGCTGCAGCATATCATACCTGGTCAGTCATGAGTCAATGTGGTTGCAAATCAATTAGATAAATTGTTTGAAGCAGGTTATATAACTTAGTGTTACCACTTAAATTTCAAGTCGCAATTTCTCAATCTCATGCCAATAAGAATAACTGCCCATCTATGAGATTTAATACATTCTCCTCCAAAGCTCTCCAAAGGGGGTCAACCCAGTTGTCCGAAACCCAGTTCTCCGAAACCCAGTTTTCCGAAACCCAGTTGTCCGAAACCCAGTTCTCCGAAAATTAGGGGGATCTTATTTGAAAAATACAATTTTTTTAAACGAATCTCGTTGTCGCAACCTCTGCGAATCACAACATAACATTGGAATAACGTTCCAACAAAATGATTCATTTTATTTTGCCTATATAAAAGAGATTGAAGAAGATAAGATAAACTGTTCCTTAATATATATTGTATTTTGATAACCTTTTTTTAGAATCACAATGTAAAAAAATCCCCCGTTCCTGCCAGTCTGGTAACGCGTGCAATGGATGCAATTCAAAGTGAGAGATAGAGATCTATGAACATCAGAATGCGTCCATGCCATTAATTTGGCCAAATAAATGGCATGAAACTGGCCTAAGCTGAAGTACGTCTCCCCTTTCTCTAGTGAATTATGACTATATTTTTCGGAGTAATGGGTTTCGGACAATTGGGTTTCAGACAACTGGGTTTCGGACAACTGGGTTTCGGACAACTGGGGTGAACCCTCTCCAAAGTTTGGCAACTGGAAGTCTCTCTTAGATAAGGACTGTTTATATTTGCAGATTTTTCTTTTGGTTGCCAGACTTAAAGAGGGGGTGTGATTATTTAATTGCACATGTTACAGCCACTCTCCAAGAACAAATTAAAATCTAAAACAATAATATCTTGGGGTAGTTGGTACAAAACATTTATTAACAATTGTAAATAAACATGTTGAGACAGAGTAAAATATAACTTCCCATGTTATAGACACATATGAGCTAATCAATCATACATTACCAGTACATCCACTTAGTGAAAGTAGTTTACACTGGAGTTGTGACACAGCTATCACAAAGTTTCAACAAATTGACACTAAGTTCCATCTAATGTCTGTTACAATGAAAGTACAAATTGATAATTTGATGACAGAGTCATGTACATGTATCAATATTTAAGTAGATTCATGACTGTGTAAATGATACAGTTACTGACCCTGCTAACATCCATGCACTTTACGTCAAAACACATTTTCAAAGTGTTACATGCAGGTTGGAGTCAATTTTGACTTTTGGGGTCATCTCAATAGTTTCCCTCTTACTTATACTCATAATCCATTTTTGTTAATAAGTAGATCCCCTCCCATTATAAATGAAAACATATTTTGAATTTTTTTTATGAATTTCTACATGATCAAAAATTTAATGACATCAATTTTGACTTTTGGGGTCATCTTAATAGTTTCCCTCTTACTTATACTCATAATCATTTTTGTTAATAAGTAGATCCCCTCCCTTTATAAATGAATACATATATAATGGCATCCAAACTGAAGTTGCATGTTATTTTCAAATAAACTCATTCTCACCATGGTGTGCATCTTTCGATTTTGCACAAAGAATGCAATAATGTAAGTATAGGGGTATTTATTTAAATTATTAAATGAGAAAATAAATAGTGATCTACCTTTTCAAGGTACATAAGAAGGTCACTTAATTGTCTCATTTTTTACAGAATTTGGTAAAAAACATATGTGATGACCCCTTAGTTATACCCATATCATTAAGAATCTATACTTGTATAAATATCTCCTTATGTGGTGACAGAGAGCAGGGCACATATGCCCCGAAATCCTATGTAGGTCATCTATGCACTCTAATGTTTACTTGCCAGGAGTATCTGCTTGTTTCAAGTTATGTCCCATTTTCTCCTGAGGGTTAGCCATGTATAAAATATAGTCTGTTTCTGCCATCTTTATAGTATCTTTACTGGCTATTTGTACCCTGGAGAATAAAATAATAATCATATATTACCCACATCCTGTCATTTGTCACAAATAGACATACATTCTACATGTACATGTATTTCTTTATCCTGCTGTAGAAAAACAAACCTAATTTCGTTGTTCAAAGGGTGCTTTGAAATATTGAGTCATCCATTTTGTTTCTGTTACATAAACAATAAATATTTTTCAACCAATCAGTGGTGTTAATTTGACGTGACACTCATGTATATCAGTCTTAGACTCCCTTTAAGATTAAAGGTATTTAGTATGAACAATTTAGTTTTACCTCTTTATTGTGTAGATAAATTCTAACACAACATAAAAATTTCAAGTATGCAGATTCTAAGGATATTCAGAACAAATGTAAAACATTTATATTGATAGACAAAAATGTAATACACAAATATATATAGATTCCAGTGCTTCATATAATATACTCCTCAAAAAAAGTTGAGGACCAGTATTTTTTTAATCCTAATCCAGAAAATGTTCAATTTAATTTCTCTGTTACAATAGGTTTATAAAATGGTAGAAATCAAGTTAACCAATGGCACACTTTTTATGAGGAGTATATTATACAATTATCCACTTATCACTGAGTTTTTAATTTAAGAACATCGTCTGTACTGTAGTTCATTGTTTTTTACATTGTAACACCTTAATCAAAGCTGCCCTGAACTTCTCATTAACTGTAACAAATACAATAAAGTTGAGGATAGGGTTTATTCCTATCATGCTTGATGATATGATGTTAGTCACCCCTTCTTGTTTTAGTTTTGTGCTTATATTGAGGAGAGTTATCACCAAAAAGGGGATGTAGCATATTAAGAATGAGACAAGTATGGCAGTCATTTGACGCACAAGCTTTGAGACACGACACATCCACTTTTTGTAAATTTTGATATTTGCTTGACGCCTTGCTACATTCACATCCAGATTATTTTCATTTAGAGGCAATGGATTAACTTTCCCTTCATCTTGAGTCAATTGGGTTATTTTCACATTTGATTCAGCCAATGAGGAAGCTTCTTCATTTTCTTTAGTCAATGATTTAGCTTTCACATTTGGTATAACCAATGATTGAGCTTTCACATTTGGTACAGTCAATGCTTTAGCTTTCATATTTGGTACAGCCAATGATTTAACTTTCACATTTGGTATAGCCAATGCTTTAGCTTTCACATTTGGTTCAGCCAATGAGTTTGCCTTCACATTTGGTACAGCCAATGATTTATCTTTCACATTTGGTATAGCCAATGAGTTAGCTTTCACAATTGGTACAGCCAATGCTTTAGCTTTCACATTTGGTTCAGCCAATGAGTTTGCCTTCACATTTGGTACAGCCAATGATTTATCTTTCACATTTGGTATAGCCAATGAGTTAGCTTTCACAATTGGTACAGCCAATGATTTATCTTTCACATTTGGTATAGCCAATGAGTTAGCTTTCACAATTGGTACAGACAATGAGTTAGCTTTCACAATTGGTACAGACAATGATTTAGCTTTAAAATTTGGTTCAGACAATGCGTTAGATTCCACTATTGGTTCAGCAAACAAGGATTCTACCATTGGTTCAGCCAATGATTTAGCATCCATCAATGTTTGAACTGCCTCTGCTGAAAATTTGAAATGTGTCACATTGTTTAATTGAGAACTGGAAATACATGTACTACTTGGAGAGCCCAAGTTAGGACCCATGAAACAAATATTGGATGGGAATTCTCTTTTGACATTGAATTTATTGGCATGAGCTCTGATTCGCAGAATTATCGCTATCTGTAGTATAATCAGAGCCAGAACATGTGCAATTACCAACACACAAAGCGTCAGTACATATGTCTTTGATATTTGGCCATTATTTAGATGGCAGATATTGTCATTAGATATTACAGTGTCCTGTGTCGGCAATGCAACTCCTAATACCAATCCAAGTAACACCCATAGCAACCATGTTGCCACAACAAGCAATACTGCAAATCTCCGAGAGAAAACTTGGCGATTCATTATTGTATAATGTGTGACAAGAAACACCTCAACGTACATCAGAAGAACGTTGGACATAGTGACACCTGCTGCTGTACATATACATAGCATTATTATGTTACATGTACTAGCCTGCTCCAATGTGTGTGTCATATCTAAGACAGCATGTGAAAGTGTAGATAATCCAAGCAAGATCCCTCCAATGGATAATCCACATTTAAAGAAGTTTGAAACTGTTTGTAAATGTCTGGTTCTGGCAACTGTTATGATTTTAAGACTATGCAGTGTTACTATCATCAGCGAAAGGGTACAGCGAAAAATGTATGGTCCTATAGCCTTATTTGGAGTTGAATGTTCTGTCTCTTGGCAGGAGTTGTTAGTCTCGTTGTGATGACACATGGTCATATTATTACTAATATTGCCGAACATTGCAGTTTTTGATGAATCTCTATGCAAATGTCTCTTTGTAGGTTTTTCTGAGTCTGTAAGTATATACTGGGTTAGTGTTGGTTCATCTATGTCAGTGTCTCAGTGCACATGTCTCAATGAAGAATAGTCTTTTTATCATATAGGAGGCATTATATACATCTGTCTTAGTCCATCTAGGTAAGTCTACAGGAAAGGTATCTACATGTAATTTCCGAGTTCTTGTCTAAATATATTTGACTTGGAAATTGATTTCATTATCACATTGTGAGTGATTTTGGAGGTGCTAACATATGTCTTCAGATTTTAGATTGAAGTGTTAACTGTATTCATAAGTTAATTATATTTAGAAATATACTATTCTGATGAACTTGTATAAACTACCTTTAGTTTTCTTGAAAATAATTTGCAAAATGTAAAAAGAATTCAAGCATGAGACTCAATCAATCAATTGTTGTTAGGTTTTTGCATAAAATCCTTGTATGCTAACATTAAACCTTTGAGTATCTTTATTTCAGGTTAATATTGTCATCAATTTACACATGGCTAGGCAAGGTGTGTCCAATTATTATGCGAGTAGGTAGTTATCAGTTTCGCCACCAGGTGGCTGTTTCGGGGGAAATAACATGGCAGGGTATTACAAAATTCCCTTAAACTTGAATATTTATCAGTTTTAGTGGTTCACTTTTCATATTACCCTTATGTATGTGATAGTTATACAAATTAAAATATGTCAAGTGAAAGAAAATATTATCTGCCCAACACAAGAAAAGATATTTCACTTCTTGTGGTTTTACAACATGGGGTCTGTAACGACCCTTGGGCACGCTCGTCGGGGAGCTGTAGTGTACCGAGCCAGATACGTCCCATCGTAACTGATTCACAAGGGCAATCCCACATCTGACACCAATGTAATGACCCTTGGGCACGCTCGTCGGGGAGCTGTAGTGTACCGAGCCAGATACTAGACTCGAAAGAGAATGTGCTAAATTCAATGCCCCGTACGGGAATCGAACCCAGGACCTCCCGCTCTCGAGTCAGACGCTCTACCCCTGAGCCATAAAGGCTAGCCACTACAGCTGAGACTGTAGCAGCGATTTGCTATCGAAGGTCGTTACAGGTCTATGGGGAATCTCCCCGACCTAGAAGTCACATTTTCAAAGAAAATTAAATTTTCAAAGTTGATTAACTCTTTTCGAAACCACATTTCTAGATGTAATTTCACATGTAGATTCCAAATATGAGCTTGACTGAATTTTGAATTTTTAATGACGTAAATCAAGATTGTTCCTACTCGCATCTAGGATATTCCAGCCAATCCGAACATAGTATTTTTATATGACAGCAGTGCATATGAAATAATCAATAACGCATGTGGTTGTTAAGGTGATGAGATTGCAATTGATGCTTTGATTTTCTATCTTTTGGGTCATTTTGTAGAAAATATTTTGCAATGTGTGTCCAAGACTCAATGCATCGTAACTGCATCATTCCGCAAACAATGCACTGAGTCAAGGACTTAAATCCTTAAATTAAGTGAAATCAAAGGATGCATCATTTATTAGTTTTTTATGTGTTTTATGGTATTTTAAGTATTAAAAAATATAAACCTCATATTAAATGTACAATAAATAAGGATCTTGCTTTTCAAATTTGTTTGTTTTTAATTCCATCCTTTCTTAGATTCAACCCCTCAGCAGAACGATAAATACAGAAATACTAATTTACAATTATTATCACTTGGGGATGTTGCATCTTCAATGATATGAAAATAAAATCCAGGGAACTAATGTTAGCCTCCAGCTAGGAAATAATAACACAATCATCTAATAAATTCTGCGTAAAGGATAGTTACTAGTTATCACTAAGACACCCTGACATTACTAACTGATAATTTGTAATTGGCGACGACATTTGGCATCATGTCAGAATTCATGTCTTCCTCTCACATAACAAGTATATATACGGTTGTATCACTAAATTCGAAAAAATATATATATCCTAAAATTATATTCTTGAACAAAATTGAGCTTAGGGTTGTGTCGAATTTCATATATAGGCAACTGATATTAATTGAAAATTTCTTTTTTCAAAAACAAGATTTTCATAATTTGTTTTAGAAGGAATGGGGTAAATACCCAAATTAAAATAAATTTGTTTTGCTATAACCTTCAAAATTTGGACACAGTATAATTTGGAGTGTATTTCTTTTGTTAAAGGTTTATTATCTGAGATTCTAAACCTGAAGAATAAAATCTATTCTGTAAATTTATGTTAAAAACATCTATTTAATCTATAAAGAACACACTGAAGTTGTAATAAAATAATTTTTCATTTGAACAAGTACTTCCTTGTATGTTAAACTCTTGTTATTTCTTGTCACATAAGAGGACAAATGGAACATGAATAAGGACGTCAGAGCAATCGTTTCTATATTTTCTATCACTATGATCTAAACCACCATGATGCAGTGTACTAATGAACCTTTTAGACTGAATTTAGAAAATGAAACGTTGCATTTATTGAGCGATTTAATTCAGTTGGAGCTTATTCAATAATTACTTTAATTCAAATGAAAGTTAAAATCGTAGATATAAGAGGTGAAAAAGTGCAAGGACCATTTATACTTTCCCATCTAACATGTCATTTGCCCATCAAAATGTAAGATTTCAAAAAGACCCTTTTCTCCTAAAATGCGAAAAAATGTGTATGATTGTATACTCATCCTGATACCATTAGTACTTTGCCATACATGCCATATATACCCCTTCATAAGTTTAGCAACTATGATAAAGTGTTAATTTTCTCATTACAAGATCTTACGAGGCAATTAACATACAGAATGTCATCACCCACTATTTGTGCAGGCACCAATCACCTAATGTCAAATACCGTCCAAAAAACGCTCAAGTGACATAAAAATGATGAATTTGTTAAAAGTGTCAAACATAGACAGACTTTAACATTGGGTTCAATGGGTTACCAATTGCCAAACTTATGAAGGGGTATTGCAGATCTGATTGGTCACTGTATAGCAGTTAGACCAAAATATAAATGACAAAAATGATGAAATCTCCACATTTGCATTCATAAATAAAGTATGAGTATTTGCGTTGTAAGACAAGGCATTTAAATGCAAAATGTTACCACCATTTGTTACAGATGCCAACCGCCATCACAAACGCCATCACAACAAATGGAGATCATAACAAAGTTGCTGAAAAGATCATTTTCTGGAAAAGTTATATTTTGATTGTCAATTTTTTAATTCTGTGAGTAAAAATAATATTCTAGTTCTGATTCATATTATCAGAAACCTTATGCTTTCAGTTTTTGACATAAAAATTCTCACAAAACATGTTTTTAAGAACATGCAATGAGTGGGCGAAAACTAAGAGCATAGGCTGAAGTTTAAGTTTTGGCAGGTGTAAACATCTTCCATCAATGTAAGCTGAGTACAGACATACATTTTAATAACATGTAGATCAAAGCACAATAGCAACAAGTAGATATTTTTATGCATTAAGTAGGCCTACTCTTCACAATGACATTACCAGATCTGGAAGAAAATATTGGTGGAAGATCATAATGTTTAGCCAGATTCATGTATGTCTACTCTTTATATTTATGTAACAATTTAAATATTTCTACATAGATACGTTCCCTACATACGTGTAATTTTATTGTCCTTACCCATGGGATTTCAATTATCTATAGTTGAAAGCCCATGCTTTACTTTAACAAAGAATTATTTTCTACACCTACTTTTGGTTTTAGAACAAATATCTTTCAGCTCTAATAAAGAAATAATCCCTGTGAAAAACGTACTGACATTTTGTTCCAGTCCATAATCATGTCAGTATGACCTTGATCTTCAATCTCGTACAAATAAATATTTTTATTCTATAGCCTTATTTAAAAGAATGTTGCTTGATATATATTATATAATACCAATTAATCCACAATTAATCTTCTAAACAAGGTATGCCATTTGATACAGACACGAATGCCAAACACCAACCAACAAACACCAACTGCCAAATGCTAACCGAGAAAAGCACAAACAAGTTGGAAACTATAACAATATGTCACCACTTGTGGTAGCGACAAAAACACTACATAAATAATAAATATTACCAATACTCTATATAAATACTTTTGTCTTAAGAAACTCCAAAATAAGAGAAATCAAGAATATTATGTCAACATATTGAATACATGTATGACAAGCATGACACCTTGTATAGAACTACCATACAACTCAATGAACATTTGTTAATTTTTTACATCAAATGAAATATGATGTACTGCAACCCACAGATTAGCACTTCAAAGGGTAGATATAAGGTTGCTTTGACATTATAGGATTAAAAACGTACCTTACATCCAAACACTTCCCACTGTCTAGATGTGGCGTGATTAAGTGGCACTTTTCGTATTTATTTAATGAACTTGACAAAATATATGATTCATCAAATGAACTTTACTGTTGCCTGGTGAGAGTGAATATGGAAAGTTCAATTTGAAATAGATAATCAAACTTATGAAGAACAATATCTTTGTACACTTTCAGAATGTTTTGAAAGCTATATGCAGTGTCCAATATCAAAAACCTAAGAATGTCCGCTACTGTCTTATACATGTAAACCAATGCTAAATGATGAGATTCGATATTTAGGGTCATTTTTATTAAAAACAAGTTGTGATTACTTTTTGGGAATAACTCATAATATAAAGAACAGTAATGCTATACTTGGTTTATTCACGTAAATACACATTTGTCTGATTATTGTTAAGCAAAAATATCTCTGGAGAAGAACATAAAAAAATGAACACAGTTTGTTCGGAATTTTCACAAGAATTGCGAATAGGCCTATGTCACGCATTTGCTTCGAAATTTTTTATCTGAAATGAATACCTCTGCAATTTGAGACAGCCGCAACTTTTTAGGCTTTGAGAGTACATTTCAGGTGGTGTTTGGAATCCACTGAGGCTAGAATTCTGCACTTTGGCCATGGCTAGCACCAATTTTCTTTGAAATATAAAAAAAGGTTCTATGGAAGACTCCCTCTACGTTCTGGTCTTGGAAATAGATATAGGCATATTAGAGCATTTATCTTGCGAACAATTTAATTTAGTTATATGACTTTCTATCCTGATGTAATCATTTTTGTGCCTTTCTTCTTATGCTGCATAAAGCATGTTAAAAAGCCTTTATTGTGACCTGAATGTCAGAGAGACTGAGATTAAGAGTATAAATAAAAGGTATACCAAGGTGTCTCAAATGTTTCCCACTCAATTCTATATAAAATCGATTTTGTCTGGTGGGCGGTAGGAAAAGAACCTAATATAAAAGATGTTCTGTTAACAAACACAAGTTAAAAAAAAAATTTTATCCATACAATTTTTTCTTATTCAAAGAAAATTGGCAATTCTAAAAAGTCTGTTTCATTAATTTTATAAAGGTGGGTGGGTGGTCCAGTGGTAACATGAAGCTGCAAAACTTGTTGCAAACCCATTGAGACACAACTGAAGACAAATAATATGTCACGTATACT